AGGCAATCAAGATGCTAAAAGCTGGAAAAGCAGCAGGACCAGATGGAATCCCAGCAGAAGCATTGAAAATGGACCCAGAGACAACAGCGGACTTGATGACACCACTACTGGAGAAGGTGTGGAAAGAGGGCAAGGTACCTGAGGATTGGAAGAAAGGATACTTATTCAAACTGCCAAAGAAAGGAGACTTAAGTCAATGCAAGAACTGGCGCGGCATTATGCTCCTGTCTATCCCAAGCAAAATACTAAGCCGCATCATCCTGGAGAGAATCAAACACGCCCTGGATGAAAAACTTCGACCGGAACAGGCTGGATTCAGGAGGAACAAGTCATGCATCGATCAAATCGCAACACTACGGATCATCATTGAACAGAGCTTGGAATGGCAGTCACCTCTCTATCTCAACTTCATCGACTTTGAAAAGGCCTTCGACAGCGTCGATCGAGAGGTGCTTTGGCAACTACTTCGCTACTACGGGGTGCCGCCAACAATTATACATCTCATCCAACAGTTGTACGACAATGCTGCATGCCAAGTAATCCACAACGGGAAACTTACAGAATCCTTCGAAGTGAAGACGGGAGTAAGACAAGCTGGCTGCCTACTATCTCCAATGATTTTCCTGATTGCAGTAGACTGGATAATGCGACAGAGAGCGGGCAGCGAGGAAACAGGCATAAAATGGACCCACACAAAAAACTTGGAGGATCTGGACTTCGCCGATGATATATGTCTGATTTCCCACAAACTGGAAGATATGCAAGTGAAAAGTAACAAGTTGACAGAGGAAAAAGCAACAAAGACAGAACTTCAGGAGAACATAGAGAAAACAGAGGTGATGAAGATTCCTGGCCATCAGCAACAGCAGCAACAACAATCAGCATAAATGGGAAAAATGTGAGAGAAGCAACCTCCTTTAACTACCTCCCTACCCATCTGGGAAGCATCGTTTCAACTACAGACGGAACTGAAGAGGATAGGGAAAGCAAGGCAAGCTTTCATTTCTCTCAAGTCGGTGTGGAAATCAACACCACTCAGCATGAAAATCGAGATTCGGACTTTCAACAGCAATGTGAAGTCAGTATTACTATACGGATCAGAGACTTGCACTGCGCGTCATGAAAAGCACTTCAAACAAACTACAGACCATCTACAGCTGTCTTCGCTCAATACTCAAGATCAGATGGCCGGAAAAGATTAGCAATAGTGACGGATCTCTGGGACCGAACCAACTCAGCAGGAACCAATTGTGCAACAAAAATGTAGGAAGAAATGGAGTTGGTGGATTGAGCCATACTCTGAGGAAACCATCAAGCGACATCACACGACAGGCCATCACTCGAGTGGAAGCAAAATGGGAAGCGGAGAGTTGGTTGTCCAAGGGTGACTTGGAAGAGATCATGTGAAGAGATGAAAGCATGTGGGCAGACGTGGAGCCAGGTGAACATGTTGGCAGAGAACTGTACGCAAAGGAGATGTGTGCGGCTGAAGCCCTATGTTCTTCTAGGAATTAAAGGAAACAATAACAATAAATATGAAATTAAATCCTTCATTGTCAATAACATCCATGCATAAAAGCATCTTCGAGAACCTGTAGCATTATTCACCATTTCAGAATCAGGAGGAAAAGGCTAGAGAATAGGAAAAGCATTCATTATTAGTAGATAAGCAGCAGTATCGCATGACAAAAGTAATGACCCAGTCAGTGTTACAAGAAAATATTAGACACTCAGGCTGATGTGATAATAATATTCAGGTAAGTAATTGATTATTGAAATGAAACACCTTAACTACAAATCGATATGAATATCCTCATTCAGTAAAATCGTGTCGTCACTGAAGCGATCCAACTAATTACTTCGAAAACGAAATTTTTATACATTAAGTGCATATATTTATGATAGTAATAAAAATAAAATGGCATGGAACTGTTACACAGGACACCATTCTCTCAAGTGTCACGAAAATGCCTGCCAGTGTCGCGACAGAATACTAATTCAATAATTATAATTACTGTATTGAGATTCATCAAGCACATTTTATATGTCAATTCATCCAAATTTTTCTAATCCTAACCCTAAACTAGCCGGTCCCAAGCCCGGATAAAGAGGGAGGGTTGGGGCATGGTGCTAGCAACTCCACCCCCAAAAATTAACCAAATTGCTACAGAAACTTCAACGCACAAATATATTCAAAATTCTAAAAATACAAACAATAACCTTATTTTTCGCTGGAATCGGGGAAGTGAAATGACTCAGGCTGGTAAAGCCTTCGGGAAGCCAGTCAGCCTCCTTTCGATGAAAGCAAAAACAAGGATGGGGACGTGGAATATTCGTACAATGTACGAAGTTGGAAAGGCAGCCCAGGTAGCCGCAGAAATGAGAAAATATGGAATAGAAGTGTTGGGAATCTGCGAAAACAGATGGAACGGATGTGGAAGGTGCCAACTATCAACTGGAGAGACAGTAATCTATTCCGGTCACCCAAAAGCACAATCACGAGCATACTGAGGGAGTGGCCATCATGATGTCACCAACAGCAGCCAAAGCTCTCATGCAGTGGGAACCAATCTCCTCCAGGATAATGACAGCCAGGTTCAACTCAAAAGGAAGGAAGGTTACAATCATTCAATGCTATGCACATACAAACGTCTCAGAACAAGAGAAGAAGGAGGATTTCTACAGACAACTACAAACAGTAATGCACAACGTCCCAAAGAGCGATATCAAAATCCTGATGAGTGATATGAATGCGAAGCTGGGAGGAGACAATACAGGAAGAGAACTCACCGTGGGTCGCGAGGCCCTCGGTGAAATGAACGATAGTGGTGATGGCGGGTTTTTTTGGCTTCCGTCGTTTTCAGTGCACACAGAGTGAAGAGGAAGTGAAGAGCCATTAAGTAGAGGAGTTGCATTAGTAGAAGGAAGGCAAGATAATAGAGATGAAGATGAAGACAAAGATGAGTGAGGATTAGAAAGGTTTCGTGTGCATTTCGTATTGTGAGGGCGATTGTTACTTCCCGGCTGCCCACACTATGGAAGTTGGTTGCGTGACCGCAGAGCCCAGGGGACAACTGCTTGAGGCCGGTCACACACGGCCTGTTTTTGTTTGTTGTTTTTCATTTGGTGTGTCTCAGTAGCACATTTATCACTTCTGCCCTGTGACACGGCAGCAGAAAGCGCGGTCGTTGTTAATCCGGGCCCCGACCGATCCGGCATGATATTTTGTGATTTATTTGAAGTCATAGGATTGGATTGGGTAACTGCTTTTAGTTTAACCGCTATCCAAACAACCTTTCTGACATGGTAGGACCTGCAGGAACATAAGTTCCAGCCAGTATAGCTTGTTGGGTCATTGCGGTGTTCAAGCCCGACCACCACGTCAAGGTAGCAGCTTTCGGTCGGGACGATAGTGGTGAACTCTTCTCAGACTTCTGCGCCTTCAATGATCTGGTGATTGGTGGCAGTGTGTTCAAACACAAGGATATACACAAGGCGACATGGATTTCACCAGATGGACACCCCAAAATCCAGATAGACTTCATTCCAATCTCAAGGAAGTGGAGACGGAGCCTACTGGACACAAGATCGAGGAGAGGAGCAGATGTGGGTTCAGACCACTATCTAGTACAAGGGACTTTCGAGGTGAAGCTTAAAGCCTCGAGGATAGCTGGGGATAGGCCGCAATGCAAAGTTCAACACTCAAAAACTGAAGGACACAACCGCAAAGGACACTTTTACTGCAACTGTCAGAGCAAAGCAGGAAACACTACGTAGCACCACTGAGGAATCATCCGTGGAAGACCAGTCGAACTCTCTGAAGCTGATTTTCAACGAAACCTGTTCAACGGTTTTAGGAAGAAAAAGGGACAAGGAATGGCTCTCAACAGACACTTGGAAGCTAATAGAGGAGAGGAGAATAGTGAAAGAGAAAATGATTCAATGCAAAGATGGACAAGAGAAGGAGAAGCTGACTTCAACTTACACAGCACTGGACAAAGAAGTGAAGAAGAGTGCTAGATAGGACAAAAGACAATTCTACGACAATCTGGCCACTGAAGCTGAGAAGGCAGAAGGCAAAAGGGACCTGAGGACATTATA